CTGGATAAATTGTCTTTTGGAGGACGTGATGCGTATGGTGGCTGCTTAAAAGGTCTTTTGCAGACACTTAGAGAGGCGGTTTCTAAGAACTTCTGCTTCAATGTCACTTTTGAATTCCAATTTCATGAAGAGAGTTTTCTTAAGAACAGTTGTAGTATTTGGTGACAGGGGCTTCCTTTCATCTTTCTGTCGATGTATCTTGTTGGATACCTGTTTTCTAGTTCGGTTTCACATAATGAATTCAACTTCTTCTCTATGGTTTCTTCGGAACAGATTTTTCTGGTTCTTGAACACAATAGTGCAAATGGATTGTAAATACGCTAAGGATACCGTTGGGTGACTTCGTGCACCATGTCATCGGTCGAATTGATTCCGAATGGGAAACAGTGAGTTTGGCTTGTGTCTGACGGTGACATGAAGGAGATCGTTTGATTCGGAGGACATTAGACACTATGGGTAGTAGTAGGGATAAGCGAAAAGGAGCGCAGAGAATAGAACAAGATCGATCTGTGCTGCTGAAGCTCTGTGTTCCACTAAGAACTCCTGGTAATAATAATAAGTAACAATATTGTTTGTAATAATAGTGAACAATGAGGAGATGGCTTTTATAGCAAAGAGGAGAAATAAACAGTGGTTGTGAAATAACCTGGAAAATATGTTAGGAAGACAAAGAAGCACAACGCCGAATATATTTGCAAATTGTGATTCTGACATATGGTAGACGTATCCTGCCCATATGTGTACATCGAGTTGCCGATAAATAGTTCCGTTGCCAATTGCTCCTACGTTCTACCATCACAACATCACTTAGAGAACCATTAGAAAGTCAGACAGCGTATGGCAGCTATTTCATACTAGTCTGAGACTCTTCAAAAGTACACATCGGTTGTCCTTGGGAACTGAAACCAGTGACCTCAGGTTGTGCAGCAAGCCTTTTGATTACTTAGAAACTGGGAACACAATCCACTGGCCTATGAAATCCAACCTCTGCTAATTTCCGATATACACTACCACCAGCAGTCGATATCATCTCATACTAGTAAATGACTGCAGGATGAAGCTACCTGGCGTTGTTTGGAGAAGTCGGAATCTTTAGAGTCCAACGAGATCGGTGTGAGGACATCGGCTGGCAGTAGCCTTAGAAGTAGCTGTTGGATCACGCTACAGTGACTGAGTAGTCAACAGGCTCCGCTCGTAACCAGTAGGTCCCGGATTCCACCCCTGACGGAATCAAGCTTGTGGCAAAATTTACATTTGAGTATGAAGCGTGTTATGTGGTTTTGCATTTTAAACTCAACTGTCTCATGGCTGACGAAATCTCAGCAAGGATACAGAAGGCTGTTTTCGCATATGCCTGATAACTCACGCCGTCTCCGGCTTAGTGGACGTGATATCCGGTTGGCTATCGATCAAACAACGTATGTTCCGCTCAGCAATTCGCTCTGTCCTATATTATAAATGTGAGTGAGATATAGCCACTGAAAGTGAAAGACATCAATAGCTTGCCTAGCTGTCTTTGATCATATGTGTCTGAGTTCTATCTCCCGTGTCAGTTGGTGGCATAATAAGGTGAACAGTATTGAGGTGAGGCTTCGGTCAAGTGCTACATAAGCAGGGGACGGGGGAAATCAGTCGACCAGTTTGTGCAGTTACACCGATTGACTGAGATGGTTGGGAAATGTGTTACGCATGCCCACCAAGCCATCACAAGCCCTCCTCGACGGACAACGTTAGCTTACATAGGGTCTGTCAGGTCGGAAAAGATATAGTGCTGGACAAACTGAAACACGGAAACAGTCTACGAAATCCATAACAGTTAGCATAAGACAGCCACGTAGGTAGGTGTAGACTGCTTGTCTGGTCGGATTCCTTGGGACGGTAATAACCAAACGCCAGTGACTATTGGTGATATGGTTCAAAATAGCTTTGAATGGCTCAAATGCACTTACTTTCTGTGATCTGGTATCTCCAATAAAACCTCGTGTTATTCCACGTTCCTATTCTTTTCCCTAAACACTTATGTTTATAATCGTTCTTTCAAATCTGTTTTCCTCTATGGTTTCTGTTCGATTGTGTGATGCATGTAGTGTGGCGACTTGAACTTCCGCACTTCTGTGAAAAGTTCTATGTTGAAACCAGTCAGTCAGTCAGTGATGCCTTCTATGCGACTGAAGTGTTAAATTTTTAAAGTAAAATAAAGAATTCCCTCTTAAAATCGATACTGATAATGATGATAAAATATACTGAATAAAATATTTTTATTTTCAAAATAAGCTTAAATATTTTCTTGATTCATAGTATTTTTTTCTCAACAAATAAATCAAGTTGTTTAGCTTGCTTTATCTTTGTTGTAAGAGGAATGACACTAATGATTTACAAAGCGGAGAACTGCAAATTACTAAGCGATTGATGACAGGCATATTAGTCAAGTCTAGTTGTCAAAACACAACTCAAAAAGGCTTAACTTGTCTATGCGTCATTGGAAGAAAAAAGAGATGGCGATTGTGTTTTCATCATGTGCTTCTGATGGAAGAAGAGACTGCCAACTTGTCAGAATATTTTTTTTGCTGCACTCTTCCTTACCAGTGTTTTTATCTTTTATCGAACAGTACTATTACAGCTTTGTAGTGATATCTCATTAATACATAGTTCTGTATTGTTTTCGTGATACGGAATACTTGTAATACTTGATCACTGGACAGGAGACAAAACAGAGAATTTTAGAAGATAGTTTCTGGTTTATACACTTCTTAACTTGTCAGCCTTCAAAACATTTTTATTTGAGTTGCAATCTGCGAATGTTTGGCGTGTGATTCCTCCGCCCCTGTCAAATGTAAGATGATGCTACAGGACTGGACTACATTGACTCAGTCGTAGCTTAGAAATAGAGAGTGAAGTGGTAGAGCATGTTGACCACCTCTTCACTTATTTGGGAAGTTGCATCTGCCAATGTCAACGGGTTGATCACTTACGAAATCTTAGCACGGATACCGAGGTGGTCGTTTCGTATATGCCAGTTTACGCCATCTTTGGTGTAGACGTGATAAGTGGCTGGCTGTCGACCACAGAATATGTGTGTACTGCTCAGTAGTCCTCTCCGTAGTTCAGCGAAGAGGTTCTTTTCTTCGGAGTGATTTGCTACAGTTACAGGATTTCATCGTGAGCTGACATTGGTGACAGAACCATTGGAAAACCTACAAAGAGTACTGGACAGCTGTTTTGTCAGCCTAGTTTGGGACTCTCGAGCAGTACGCACCTACTGTGGTTCCAACCCACAACCTTCTGGTTACAAGTCAAGCCAGTTCGTAGACAATAAGGCCACTGTTACCCGATCCAATGGCCCATGAATTCCAGCTTCTGCCAATTCACGACATACCCGCTACCAATAGCCAACGTCTTCGGCGAGTATTTGCCCTTACACCCAACCTGCTACACCCTACTGGCCATGGCTTCCCACTAGAACCCATGTAACTGCCTACCTGAATAGGGCCAGTCGCCAGTGAGCATCTCATTGATATTCAAGTAACCGATCAATCAAATCCCTACAAACCAATATTGGATTTGCTTTAGCCGTATTGTTGGATTTTTAAAAGATTTTTTTGTGAAAGAAGATGGGAACAAACGTGATGAGTTGTCATAGTCAAATTTTGTTAATATTAATCAATAAATAATAGGAGGCAAAGTGACGGTATGAGACGTACTGCTAAGGCACTCAAAATACATAGGGAGATAAGTGAACAAGCCATTCGGACAAATGTATTCCCATGTTTTTGAATAGACTGACAACATGTCGTTTACTCTCAGTTGAAAAGTTGGATAACAGTTACGTAATAAGACAAATAATTTAACGAATGATCTGTAGTCAGAATACACACACAAGCGAAGGGAAATAGAAAAGTTCTAAAGGGTTAGACAACAAATATAATATAACCAAATTACTGATTTAAGTTTGACTCAAGACTGTCTCTCTGTCTTCCACTCTTTTTAAATATACTTTCACTAGCTGCTTTGTCCTAGCTTGGCACTCATCGTCGGTACGCAGCCACCGGAATTCGCTCGCTAGTGACTGCCTAGTGGATGAAGTTGCCTGGAGCTTCAGTGTCAAGTAGTGACCGGTGGAGTCCACCTGGTCAGGAGTGAGGACAAATACTGGCTGATGATATTGACTGGTGCCACTCACACTAAATTCACGTATTGGTAGAAGTTAGAATTCATGAACTGTCGATTGAGTGGGGTCCCGGTTGCTAAGTTGTCTACGAGCTTGACTTGTAACTGGAAGGTACTGGGTTTGAACCCCTATGGTGGGTCTGTACTCTGAAGAAGTTCCAGCTGTCCAGTACCCCCTGTTGGTTCCGAGTGGTTCTCTAACTGAAATCAATCTGCGGTGAAGACTGAAACACATCAAATCCCGATAAACTAACTCTCCCATACAAAAGTCAGGCTGGTTGAACGCAGAGTTTTTACCACAGTATAAATGGCCGGATAATTTTCTTTGTATGCAAAGCTGCTCCAACTTCTCTATCTGAAAAGCTGGAACTTCAACCGTACAAATAAGACAAAGATGCACTGTCATTGTCGGATTGCTTTTCACTCTGCAGAGGTTGGAACGGCAACCGTGAAAATGTGCTCATTTATTACACTCCATGTAAAGCCACTACTGCCCTTCTTCAACCATTCAGAATAATGTTCTTGAATCCATTTTAGACAGGATTCGTACTAACAAATATGGTTACAACAAATCATCACTTTTATTACTATTCTCTTTTGTAAAAAATTGTATATAAATGCGATTGTACATTTGAAGAGAAAAAATCTATTTGCCAAAAAAAGAGTCTTTCAACAACTTGTATTTACCAGCTTGTAATAATTGGTGTCAATAAAGCTGTCTGTAAAACCTCTAATTATTCGACTAGGCTGATACCAGCGTCGTGACGAGAAGTTCGCTGAAAAGGATTCACGACTAATCGTATCATATTTGACTTTTTCTCCTTTTTTAACAGAGTTGGAAATTTCGCCTCATTGGATGGAGTTATCTTCTGTAAACCACACTATATAGAACAATTTCGTATGAGTGGTAAGTAATTATGTTACATTTAAAGTTCCTGACTTTTTATACCACAAGCTCAAATTATCACCATAACCTAATTATACTTGTGCATCAGCACCGGAAGAGTTTACGGGTAAAAAAGAGGTCGGACTAGGTGTCCATACATTCGGGTTAGAGCGTGGTAAGTTGCTCCTAGGTGTCATGGGTTGTAACAGTGGTTCGAACTGTGTTCCTGAAAGTACGGGTAGTAGTGTTCGGGGCTGGGTTGTAGATTAAAAGGCATAGCATTGTAAGGTCTAACCATCGATCTGTTATTCAGCATACCGGTACGCATCTTGCTATAGTTTTATATCCGAAAGAATATTTTGGAGGAAGGTGCTTCGATTGCAGGACCTTTGGGTTTTTGGAACCTAATTTTCTATAAGGCGGAGTTTGCTAAAAACCATCAAACCTACAAATGTTTTGCGAGGGTTTCTTGCTATCTAGTGTGAGTTTTCTGACATGCTTACTCTCAGCAGGCTTATTGAATACAAAGTATTCATCCCCATCATAAGACGCAGTCCTGTGAAATTTGTTCGCTGTGGTGGGGCTACTACTTTTAGGTGAAAATTTATCAAGGCAGACTGCAGAAGTACTAGCTATTTTAATACCCTTCAGTGAAGTTTGTTAACAGAGATACTGATATCGAAATCAGTTTCTAGTTTCATCAGCAGGCGTGTTAGTTGTGTCGTTCGCCGATTGGTACTATCAGTAATAAGTAAATTTAAGCTGGAGGAGGTAACCAGATTATTACTATGCATTATTCTACGTTGACACGGTGTTTTATCCTGAATAATGGTGACAGATTTATAACCTCTATTCAATCTTAAGTGATCTTGAAATCTGGAAAACTTACTAGCATCAAGAGAATTACCAAACTTGAAAATGATGGGGCAATTAGACTGGGGCGACTTTATAAGAAGTCATTTGCATTCACGCGACCCACTAGCCATGCCGCAACAATTCAGGAGTTTATGTTTTATAGCCTTTAGAGGCGTTGAGTTTGGGATATTGTAAACAATAGCCTGACAAGAAAAGGCGGCAAAGTTCTTCAATAGCGTCCCAAGGGATGCGAACGCACGAGTGACCTTGAGCCGACCAATCAGAAAATAGGAGGATTTTTGCATAAAATTTTACGCATATTTACATAATAAAACATGAAAAAAACATTAAACAGGGTATTTTTGTTTAATATGAGATAAAAAGATGTCCTAATTATAAAATTGGAGTTTCAGTTTTTAAATTTAACCAATTTCTGTACATATATTGATCCAAATGACTAAAAATAACTTGGTTTTGAGATCCGTTTATAGCTCTGATTCTACTTTTTAGTCTTCCTAAGAAACTTTCGATTGAATTAGTATGAGTACCGGTTCTGGGATCAATGAAGTCATCCGAATAGTTAACTCAATGATGTATATATCTCAAACCCGATAATCGGTTATATCCTGCCCATTTATCCGTGTGAATGGTAGTGCCCAGCAAGACGAGCCTCTGAATAATAGAGAGGAGTGTATGAGCACTCCTATCTGGAATAAGTTCGATTAATTCTTTTCCGAATCTGGGTGTCGTAAATTCCCAGAGCCCAAACGTTATTTGCCGTAGCACGTCCTCGACTGTACTTCTTCTTTATAAGAACCGTTTCATCGATATGGACGGCTACACCGACTCCTCCCAACACTTGAGTAATACTATTTGTTTTCCACGACGTTAAATCTCGAGAAAACTGGAACCATTGCACAGTAGACGTTAACGTGTTTTCTGTTTGAGACGCAGTCGATCTCATCCCGGACATTAAAATCTAGTAATGGCTCAGAAACAGGATTTTCGTCAACGAAAGTTTCGATTTTTAAAAGAAAGTTCCTAGAAGACAATTAAATGAGGGTGTCACTTACCAGTACGAACACTTATTCGTTTCTTACACTGTGTATATCTAAATATATATCCATCAATGACCTGGGTATATGGCTGCAGGTTCATAGAAGCACCACAAATACATATCCGAGTACGTCCTATTAATCCATTATCTAGGCAGTACTGAAATACGTGATCTGGGTGAAATTTGCATCTGAGCAGATGAACAATGGTAAATTTCCTCAACCAACGACTAGCAAGCGTTCATCGTTATTTGAGCGTTCGCACTCCTGAGACGCTATTTTTGAACTTCGCCGAAGAGACTATTCGCTTCATCACTTCGGTAGTCAAGCAGTCAATGCGATTTCCTGCTTTATTTAGGTTGTCGGGAAAAATTTTGAGATGTTTTTTTAAAAGGCAGGCCATTGGGTCTAAATCCGCAAGCTTGTTTTGAGTTACATCCAGTAAAGACTTAACCTGGTTAATATGAGGACGGTTTTCCGTGATATTTGAGACTAGCAGTGTCATGCTATCAAACTGACCTAACTTTTTCTGAAGTTTATTTACTTGCATCTGGATATTTTTCACAAGATGATTTCATTTACGCAGCTCAGAGTTCTCTAACAGAACATCTTTCACTTGTATTACAGGAGTGAGAACTGCACTCGAGCCATTTTGCAAGCTAGTAGTTAATAGTGTATTACAGGGCGTTGATGCAGTTATACCTGAGCTTAAACCACTATTCAAAACAATTGTGTTTCTACGATCATGTTTTTGTAGAAATTCGGATCATGATTTTAAGGATTATATATCGACTAGACTGTATATTCGTGTATTTATAACGAATGGATGGAAAAGTTCCAGAATAATTTCCGGTCAAGGGTCAGATTAATAGAATTACAATTAGGAATTAAAATGCCATAATAAACAGGTGGGGGGACGGATAGAACTCAAACAAAGTAGCATCATAATTACTGAGAAGATTGACACTGATTGTGCAATTGAGGGTTAGAAATTTAGAAATAACAAAAACAGACAGGCTGTTTGGATAAAAATCTAGTGGGATCATAACTATCCAAAAGCTGAAACCCGCGCTATGTATCCAAAAGAAATACATCCAACCCTTGTCCTTGCCATGGTCATCATAAACAGATAATTCATTTAATAGTGACTATCCCATTGCCTTTCTTATCCAAACTTCCTGTTTATTCATGTTATTTTTAAGTTTTTCTTAATCCCTCCACTATTTACACTATCATATTTTCATATCCGAACTTCCAGTCTATTTTGTCATTTCATTATTTCTACATATTTAATCCCTGATTGCATAAAGAATTGTTCGTCACATTAGTTATGATCCCACTAGATTTTTTATTCAAACATCCTGTCTATTTTTGTTATTTATACATTTCTAAACCCCAATTGCACAGACATGTGAGTCTTCTCAATAATTATGATGCTACTTTATTTGAGTTTTATCAGTTCGCCCACTGTTTATTATGACATTTTAATTCCTAATGGTAATTTTATGAATTTGACCTTTGACCGGAAATTATTGTGGAACTTTCCCACCCATTTATTATAAATACACGAATGTACAGCTGTCTAGTTGATGATTTCGTCGAAAAGAAAATTTTCTTCGCTGCAAACATCTTTTTAATAATTCATATGATCCCATGTGTATATTCGGTGACTATATATTAGTGAGCAATAAGGAAGAACACTGTAATTTTCTGAAGTGCACAACTGTTCTAGCAGGCACAGCATCGGTGGCGCAGCGGTTTGGACTCTTGCCGAACATGCACATGGTGCCAGATTCGATCCCCTGCTGACGCACACCTGATATCAATGGTTGGCCTTCGAAAATTCGGCTACCGATATCACATGCTGAAAAAATTCCATACTTCTACGAAAAATACGGTGTGAAATCAAGCTATAATCAAAATTAAAAAATAAATTTATTTATGATGCACTGAATTATGCTTTTGACTTGTTTGATTGGTTCAACAAAGACTTATGCTGCCAAAGAGAATGTGCCTTCTCCGCTTGATCACTCACCAGTGGATCTAGGTTTCGAATCCTGGCCTATGAAAATCGGCTCAAACAACTGGGTAGTATAATGATCTCTCTCTAAGGAGGAGCTTGCCAGCTATTTACGTGGTCCGGGTTCGATTCTTGGTCGACGCCCCCATTGAAAAATTGTCGTTTAGCCAGGAGTATACCTGGGAAAATTGGATTTGCGGCTATTCAGCCCATACCGTAAGATAAAACGCGAAAGACCTATTCTCCACTTGGCAAACAATGACGCAAAGAAAGAAATTAGGTATGCTTCATATCCTGGGATGCGAAACATTCCTGATGAAGCCGTTTTAGGCGGTGTGGTGATGGAACATGTACAATCTAGTAATTGGGCTTAAAGAATATATCATTTTGTATATAACCTTTAGGCACGCGTTGTTGGAGTCACGGCTATTTCTCTTCTAAAGGAAAATGATGAGACTGATACAACTGACTTGTGTTCTGTAAATATTTCACTACGGAACACCATTTAAATAAGCTGATATATATCTTCAGTGAATTTTCATCAGGCTCACTGAAGTCACATAATAAAATCTTCCATAGTTGGTTTGTAAGGACTAGTTTTGTTTTCATACGAGTTGATCACGGACTCATATCACTTAGAGAACCATTCAAAACAAGCAGGGACTACTGCCAGACACCTGTTTCATCCTACTAGTTTGGAAATCATCGAAGTACGCACCCACCGACTGGGTTCGACTCGTAGAAACAAATCTAATCCTTACAAATCAACTAATGAAAATTAATCTAAGGTTTTCTAGTGACCTGCTACAGGATGGAGTTTCCTGGAGTTCTAGTCAAACGTCGTGACCAATGAGGTTCATCCAGTCAAGTGTGGGGATGAATGCCCGACCGATCACATGGGTTGGTGCTAGTCGCGCTAAATCACGAATCGGTTGAAGTTAGAATTCATGGGCTGGCCATTGAATCGGGTCCCAGTGGCTGAATGGTATACGAGCCAGCTTGCCTTGTAACTGGAAGGTCCTGGGTTTGAACCCTGGTGGTGGGTGCGTACCGATGATTCGCAAACTAGGATGAAACAGCTGTACACT